TTACTGATTCATTGACTGTTTAAAATCAGTGAAAAAAATAAAACATAAAAATGTTTATAAAAAATATAAAATTGCAGATATCTGGTTTTAACGAAGCGGGTTTGGAAATATGTTATACTGTACTGATTTTCTCTTTATTTTTACCCGAGGAATCACAACGTAATTTATGTCCACCTGTTTTGAACACCCTGTATAACATCTGTTTCAATGGTGATCGCTTCCTACAGTTACTCTAGTTATCATTAGACCCAATTAGAACTGTTTCTATACAATATTATCCTTTAGTATACAGAATAAGTGTAAATAAACCGAATAATGCTGGGAGATGTCTTTAAAGAATCCATACATGCATAAACACTTATAAACCCTTACATTTAATTTTAAACATGTATATTCACCTCCTTTATAGAACATTTTTGTCTCAGGAAGGAAGAGCAAAGAGAAGCAAGTTTATATTTATTATTGTTTATACAACTGCGTAGGAGAAGAGTTCATAATCTCGCAAATTTAATGTAATCTCTTTGTCCGCGTGTCTAAGTACGAGGATGAGTTTGTTTGCACACGTATACAAATATTCATGCTATACTAGGGTAAGCATTTTATAAATTTATTCAAAAATATATCATTTGTGTTATTTAAATATTATATTTGTATAATGAGATTCATGTGGTATATAACTAGAAGGAAATAGGAAAAAGAACATAAAATAGAGGTATGATATACAATTACATAAATGTGTTATAAATAAGTTTTTAACTGTAATTAAGTTTAGCAATTTCATTGATCCTAAAATTAAAGTCGATAACACAGTTTGGCAAAATTGGTTTATTTAATACGTTATGTTTTAAATACACAAGGGTATTTGCATTATAAAGATAATATTCCAAAAGAACATAATCTGTAATTAATATCTTTTATAAAATAAATGTAACACAACTATTTAAGTTTGCAGTGGAAGTTTATGTCTGTAGAATAGATGAATAAATTAATGAAATACGAGTTTTCTAAAAAATATACATTCTACAATTTGCTTGAGCGTATCAAATGTCTGCAAAGTTCTATTTCTATAATACAATCATCTCGCCAGAATCACACTTGCACTCAAGTTTAGTGATGCCATACCAGTGGCAGAAGCCAAACTGCTCCATTTTGTCCCCGTTCTCTTTTAGTGGGATTCGCTAATATGGCTTCTTTGCAATGATAAAGTATTTGGAGGAGGAAAATACAATGCCAAAAGTATATTATTATTTTATTTTATTATTACATGATAAGAAGACGTTAGACTTGCCAGCTGCATCAGAATTATGTGTCACTGTGGGCATAATTTGCCAGTTTTTATCCAATATTTTGACACCATTGCCGCCCAAGAATAGGCTTCTTATTAGGTTGGTTTGAAAACATGTTTTGTTTTACTTAAATGACAAACCCAAATAAAAAGTATTGTATGTCACGCAACGAAAAAAATATTTCATCAAAACATTGGTCGTCTAACACTCATAGTAACAGGGACACAGAACCATAATTCGTTTTCAATTACTGTCATGAGCGATACTTAAAGAAATTGGAAGAATATGAGCGTGGGATTTAAGTTTTAAGAGTAATAACGTTTTAGTTTGATAACAATAATAGGGCATGGCATAGAAAATAAGTTAGTGTGAACCAGCGAAACCAATAAGTACAGTAATTATCCCGCAAAAATGATGGAATCCTTTATGAAATTACAAAATCATTCTTACCTACAGAACCAACAATACTGGTCACGTTGGATGATATTGACCCCAAAGGTGGCAGAGCCTACAACACAAAGTTAACCCTATGGTAAAAATAAGACATACCAGGGCAAGCAGTTTCATTTTATTACTAAGCAAATACTACTATCAGCAAGTTTGGTGGTCCGGTAAAAAAGATACTGAATGTTACTGATTGTACATGTCTATTGGTCTGGTTAACAAATTACTGAATCTTACTTAATGTACATATCTACAGGTCTGGTCAGTAAATTACTGAATGTTAGGGCCTACTGATTGTACATGTCTATTGGTCTGGTCAACGAATTACTGAATCTTACTTAATTTACATGTTAATTGGTCTGGTCAACAAATTACTGAATCTTACTTAATGTACATATCTAGAGGTCTGGTCAATAAATTACTGAATGTTACTGATTGTACATGTCTATTGGCCTGGTCAAAAATTACTGAATCTTACTTAATGTACATATCTAGAGGTCTGGTCAATAAATTACTGAATGTTACTGATTGTACATGTCTATTGGCCTGGTCAAAAATTACTGAATCTTACTTAATGTACAAGTCTAGAGGTCTGGTCAGTAAATTACTGAATGTTACTGATTGTACATGTCTATTGGTCTGGTAAAAAATTACTGAATGTTACTGATTGTACATGTCTATTGGTCTGGTTAGCAAAATAATGAATGTCGTTGTATGTTCTGTCTAATGGTCAGGTCAGTTACTGAATGTCGTTGTATGTTTTGTCTAGTGGTCAGGTCAGTAAATTACTGAATGTCGTTGTATGTTTTGTCTAGTGGTTAGGTCAGTAAATTACTGAATGTCGTTGTATGTTTTGTCTAGTGGTCTGTAACTGTACGCACGGCGGGCGACGCAGTAGGTCGATACATTACACACGCGACTTGGTGTTATTTATGAAAGCCACTGTCACATGGGTCACTGAATAATAAAAGCATAATAATGAGGGAAGCAGTAACCTATGTTGTTTATAATATTATTGACGGTGCAAATTGTACAAAAAAATTTGAGAATTGTACTTTACGAAACGAGACCGAATTTTATTTATGTCCATTACACGTTTCATATATACTAAGTTGCTTAAATAAACGTTAAGAAGTTAAACATATTCAATGTTTACAAAATACCACGATTTAAAGTAAAATCGTATCTTTGTTGGCAAAGAAGGAGTTATATGTAGGAATTCATTGGAATTCTGAAATATATAGAGAAACGGACGAAGTTTTCCGTTAAACTATCGCATAGTGTAAATGGAGCCCTGGGAAAACTTGATAAAAACATTTAAAATGTAATTAAGAAATATACCAACTATATTCTAGCTGCTTTCAGAAGAATGTCCATATGCGATAAATGCACTTAAGTTACCTGAATACTTATGAATGTTAAGTATAACCACATAGAAGGATGAGTAGGGATTAAGCTATTAAGTAAAATTTTTCCAACTCCTTGATTTACAAATTTCTATTGGTAATTTGTTACTATATAATAATCCTGTTACCTGTGGTATTTTGGAAACCGATCTGAATGGAGTGGTTGAAGTAAGTTCTCCTACTTCTGTGTCTTAACTACACCACAATAAAATGAGTGCCAAATTGGGCATTTCCTTTAATAAAGCGATTGTCCAAGTTTTGGTTCCATGTCCTCTTCTGTGAAAAAGTGGTAATACTGTTTTTTTATACTGTCAGATGAAGTTCCATGGTATATGGCAAAACCTTTGTAATAACAAAATTATATCAAGATAGGTTAGCAAATACAACACTGAATAGCATACGTCACCAAATCATAGATTAATCATATTCCCTTGTCAATATATTTACCTTCATAGATCAATTGAAGACAGTAGTTATAGGTTCAGTTTTAGTCCAATTTATGTGGACCACAGTTTGTTTATCTGGTACCTAAACCAAATAAAAAATAATATGGCACTATATTAGTTATAGTGTAATAATTTTGGCTTGTTGATGCTAGCTGACGATCGACAATTACTCCAAGAAAGACTGATTCGATTCCCAGAATATTGACTAGATATAACGGGGTTTGGATGGATTTACCCTTAAGCGTTAATATTTCCCACTTAAACTTTAATCGATAAAGAAACATTTGGTCAATTTAAGTGCTCTCAAACGTAAAATTAAGCGTTAGTCAAATAGGCTTCTAAATTTTACAATTTGGACAAGATTACTATTGACCCTAATTGTAAATTAATATAAGGAAAAAAACTGTACACAAGCTTCTGAATTTAAGGAGTATTAGAAAACAGAAGAATTGCTTCTGAAGACGGTGTACCAGTAACTAGATTGAACCAAGCTACTTCTCCAGAAGTAGGTTTTCAAGTTTCTGTAAATGGATATCGTAAAGTTGTGCAACAAAGGTCACCACCAATCAGCTTCAGACCTGACGTTTTACTGCTTTGTGTCAAAACCACTTTCTTCATTTATTAACCCCAAGTTTATAGTTTCCTGTCGAACCATCAATTTATTCTTTTCGCAAAGCTGTCTTGTGTTAAAAATTGAACAGAAGAACAAACTAAACCTGAATAAAGTAATTAAATAGTAGCCTTATCATTTACTGCAATCATGAACGTTGGAAATATTTTCGATATGCAGATGAATCACAGTTAAAGAAACAAACCAACCGCTCTTTCATATATTATGTGTACATATTCATTGTAACGTGGGTATAAAAGTACAATCTCAAATTCATAACAGATATATAGTATTTACAAAAAAGCGTATGCATGTATTTTTACAGATCGCTACGGCTACAGAGGGACTGCCGCGGTGACCTGAGGGCGGGGGCATCGGGGGCGGCGCCATGTTGTGGCGTCGAAGACTGTACGTTATTTACAGTTGTTATATTCATGTTGTATTGTTACAGGCCGCTACAGAGGGACTGCCGCGGTGACCTGAGGGCGGGGGCATCGGGGGCGGCGCCATGTTGTGCGTCGAAGACAGTACGTTATTTACAGTTGTTATATTCATGTTGTATTGTTACAGGCCGCTACAGAGGGACTGCCGCGGTGACCTGAGGGCGGGGGCATCGGGGGCGGCGCCATGTTGTGCGTCGAAGACTGTACGTTATTTACAGTTGTTATATTCATGTTGTATTGTTACAGGCCGCTACAGAGGGACTGCCGCGGTGACCTGAGGGCGGGGGCATCGGGGGCGGCGCCATGTTGTGCGTCAAAGACTTTACGTCATTTGCAGTTGTTATATTCATGTTGTATTGTTACAGGCCGCTACAGAGGGACTGGCGCGGTGACCTGAGGGCGGGGGCATCGGGGGCGGCGCCATGTTGTGCGTCAAAGACTTTACGTCATTTGCAGTTGTTATATTCATGTTGTATTGTTACAGGCCGCTACAGAGGGACTGGCGCGGTGACCTGAGGGCGGGGGCATCGGGGGCGGCGCCATGTTGTGCGTCGAAGAATGTACGTCATTTTCCCTGCCGAAGATTTAGTGGAATTGACGTTGTCCCGACCACCGGTAGACCAGAGTCATCAGAACAGCCGCCGAGGTAAATTACAGTTTGATGTTTTTGTTACTGTATTAATTATTTTATATACTTTATAAAAAGATCATTGGTTTCATTTTGGGTAGTTCATGCACACCGTTAACCCCCAAAAATCCCTGCAATGTTTCGATGGAAAATAAGTTTAGTTATGTCATATTTCACCATGGTCAATCGTTAATTTTTTTTTGTCAAATTTTGCGTCTTATTTGTTGAACACTTGTCATAGTCATTGTTAAAATAACCATGCACTCAGACATATCTACTAATCTACGAAATATCTAAATCACGTTTGGCCAGACAGATCAAAACTTATACTGTTAGCGGAAGAATGCCAATGCACAAAACCGATGAACGGACTGAATACTTGAGCTAACTGAAGTATAAGGATTAGCGACAGTAATAGGCAATATTAAATATTTATTTCGAATAGAATTTCTATTCAGGAGGCAAATAACCGGACATTTAAATGTTTAATTTCCTTTTAAAACTATTCAAAGGTGCAATGCTATATCTTGCCGATATAAGTGTCTTGAAAACTAAGTACAGTATCACTGAATATATCGAGAGCGAAGTTTGTTAACTAAATAAATATAAAAAGTAATCTGCAAAAGAGCCTTCATGTCAACAAGCATAACTGATCAACAACTGATTGTTGTGTTAAGTAAATTTCATTTTGGAAGCCAACAGAAAGTAGTGTTTCCTCGAATGGATTGACCTAATTCCACGAAAACCATTAACTTTACAAAATAATTACAAGAGTTTAAAAGTTAGTAAATTTGTTAAGAATAATACTATTATGAAGAATTATGTTATTATTTTTCAATAATAACAGAGAATTGTGTTCTTTTCGTAATGCATGTCCACTTTTCTTCATCTTAACAATGCTAATATTACTTTTACATTGTATAAATATATCTAAAATCATCTGTTATACGTCAATCAGGTGTTTAAAAAAATAACAGATGATTGAATAATTTGATTTTGTTATTTTTAAAAGTATTGTTGTCATAGAATTAGATCCCTTTATAGGATGCACAGGAAGAACTTTCAAACAATCAGTACATACTAATACTATATTTGGTTGGCCAGACAGGAGAGGTAATGAATTGTTCGTTCCGTTAATACGAAATGCGGCAAGATAATCTTACGGTTGACTGAGTTTTTTTTTCAAACAGTCCACAAACACTTTACAACACTCAAGTTTTTTGGATAGACGGATATGAAGCCACATACAGTTAATTTAATAGAAGAACAACTTGAATGCAAAATGCATTAACCGTTCATCCAGGATGGTGTACATCCATTTGCATAGTGAATGAATGAATGAATATCGTTTATTCCAAAAAACATAGGCTACAAGCTGTGATTATGAAATAAATAAAATATAATATACAGATCTTATGTCACTAAAATATATTATACGAGTTTTAATAAAGCCAAATATTATAACCATAAAATAGTTACTGAAGGTTGATGCATTCATTAAAATACCCATAAAAATTTGAACTTTTGAATCTTGAACCCAAACCGTTGCAATACTCCTTTGTAATACATTTACTTAAATATTTTTTTTTTACCAACGTTTTATTTGTTGACCTACAAACTATTAACTGCAAAACTACGAAACGAGATGAACGCGCCAAACATCCGTGAAGACCAAGGCTGTAACTTGTATTGGTAAAGTTTCATAAGAAAAACTTTCGTATGTGAGGAGAATGTGTAAACTTTGTATCCACCTTAACCTATGAGGTCGCATCATATTGGTTTGAGAGTCGCTCGAGTAGAAGGGAATTTGTTACCTACACACTACACAGGGTTGATACCTAGAAAACAATATTAATGACATTTTATAAAACTAAACATGTTAAGAGTGAACGTTTAACTATCATGGTTTAAAACTTATTGAAAAGTATGCTTGTAAATGCAAAGTTGAGGCAAAAGTCTTTTTAGAAGTAAAAATTGAAGTTTCTTGTATCATGTGCACATGAAGTATACATCTTTAAAATTATCAGTAAAGTTTCGGCTGCCAAATTAAATACGTTCTGAAATAAAAACAATTTTGTAACATACAGTTTCAATATGATCTAAAAATGCATGCTCTGTTAAAATTACGTTCGTGAAACAAATCTCTCATTAAAACCATACTAAATATCTGCTTCGTTTGCCATTGGTAATTAAAACCCTGTACAGTATTTCAATTAGCGTGTCTTAAATCAATTTGGGTCGTACGGTTATATTACATATTAATATGAAAGCCAATATGCCCAGTATAGTTAGAAGAATGATTACATTGATAGCTTGGTTAGTATTAAGTTTCATGTGCATATTGTGGCATAATTAAAACTACCTATACCATGAAACAAAGGCACAACTGTAACTTGATAAATAATCGATTGGAAAATGTAACACAAAATTATTCCAAATAGAACGGCATAACAGAGAGTGATCATTGAAAATATATTATTATTGACATTTCATTCGATTAGTTGCTAAATGACGGTTTCATTCAACCATTAAAAGTTTAAGTAAAAACATTCTAAATATCCCATGCTAATATTAATCATTAAACGAACTAACATAATTCTATTAAATGAGTTTAATTTCACACACGTCTAGGCCTAAATATATTAAATCAAAAGCCTGATTTCCCTACTTTTATAACTCGCTTTAGTTTGAAAATTTGAGGGTTTTCGGTAACATTATTTATCTTGTCAAACAACTAAAAGAATTACGAGGGGAACCACAGAAAGCAAACTTCAGCGTTTGCGAAGGAGGCTGTCGTCAGTTGCCTTAGGCGACGTAGGGGTTGAGGGATCGTTAACTTTGTCAAGTCTGGGTGAAACTGGGTAAAGGGTGGTATTCTTGAGCTTTGCTTATATAGTAAATATACCCGGAAATATATGCCAGCGAAAATAAAAACTAATGTTTGTAATAATGGCAAAATTATTACTGCATTTTCACAGAAGAGGAACTAACCTGAGGAAAACAACAACAAAACGTTCATGTAGGCTACAAAGTACAAATTTTCATCGCAAATGTAAAAAAAGTATTTTTATTTATTTAAAACATAACTTAAATTTCCTTCCTACAAGTAAATCGCTAAACCTAAAAATACAAGAATACAATTTATTTAAATTTCCTCCTAACAATGATATTTGAATATTTATTGTCATCAATTTCTAAAAAGTAATAGTTTCAGTCTATGTGTATTCAATAGGACAATTTAAATTTTTTGGGTTTAATTCAATTTTTTACTGCAAAATCTTATGTAGCATTTGACAACCAAGAGTAGACTATCATATTTTTTCACCATTATTTTTTTGTTTCTAAATTTTTACTGTATATATATGGTACGTGGTCTGTTAAATTTATCCTTGGACCAGTCATGTTTTCATTAATGTACATTGATTAAAGATTTTAATGTGATCTTATAGATTACTTCTTACGTCATAAGAAAACTTCAACCAAGTATATCGTCAACTTATTGACGATAGACACGAATTCTTGGTAAAATTACGTAATACTAAGGTTCTTTAGAGACTTTTCAAACACTTTGTAGAAGCCGTTATATCAGCATCTTTGTTTTGTTGTAGGGATTGACCTTTTACCAACAGTTGAACAAATGTGAAACCTTTTTGATTTTAACTTTATTACATAAGAATGGTTTTATGTTACATAACTAACTTTATTACATAAGAATAAATCAATGTTATTATTCATCGAGATGGTTAAAAAGTATTACATTTTTAGTCCAAGATTAGTATAAGATGCAATAATATAATCGGGGTTTAATGAAAGTTTACTGTGGGTATTTCTTTCGATGTTACATATTGTGGGCGGGTTGCTAGTGGGTTGCTAGTGTGTTGCTAGTGTGTTGCTAGTGTGTTGCTAGTGTGTTGCTAGTGGGTTGCTAGTGTGTTGCTAGTGGATCGCTAGTGGGTTGCTATTGTGTTGCTAGTGGGTTGCTAGTGTGTTGCTAGTGGGTTGCTAGTGTGTTGCTAGTGGGTTGCTAGTGTGTTGCTAGTGGGTTGCTAGTGGGTTGCTAGTGTGTTGTTAGTGGGTCGCTAGTGGTTTGCTGGCGGGATGCTAGAGGGTTTGCTAGTGGGTTGCTAGCGGGTTGTTAGTGGGTTGTTTAGAGTTTCGGACTCTGGTGCGAAAGGAACGGGTTTGATTCACGAGACACCCACAAATCAAATGGGTTTGGAACGCTTTACAAAAAAAGCCTTTGTACCTCCTATAAACCTCTATGAAACACGCTATAGACGTAGACGAAAATAATGATGATAATGTAAACCAGAAGGGGGTCTGTCTACATCTTAAAAGTATTAAAGTTCTACGCTTCTGAAATATATTAAGTTTTAGTAAAGCAAGTCATCCAGTTTTAGAGTCTTTATATTGTAATATGTGTATTTCATTATAGTTAGATTTTTCTTATGTAAGTTTGTGTAAATATATGTACTGCATTATCATAGTAATTTCTAATATTTTGTATTTTACATGCAGCATTGGACTTATAAAGGTAATCTTTTCAACTAATTGTTTAAACTTCATTACATGTAAATATATTTTATATGAAATAACATAAAACTAGAGTTGAACTCTAAGATCACTTGTTTCATGTTAAATAACAACTCCTTGGTAAGTTTACAATTTCATGAAGCTTTAATAATACTTCAAATTAGGTAGATTACTACAAACGTGTGTGCAGCTTTTAAATATTAAAAGCCGTAGCAGTGCGGTAATTAAATTTCAAACATTTTAGAACATTATATTTCATTTCATTTAAGCATTCGGTGCAGGCTTACCTAAATTATGTTATAAATACATAAATATGTTACACAGAATTTTTAATATGCACGAGATAACAGCTTAAAACCCCTGCTTTACTTGTTTACGGATGTTTTACTGAGTAGAGCTTAACTATACTCTTCAGAACTGAGAAATGAAAATTAAAAATGGAGTTAAAGCACTAAGCACGCTTTCAACTTTTGAGGGACTAAAGA